CGCGGGAAGCAGATGGCTGCCCCTCTTTCCTCGAAAAGAGAGACAAACGAGAGCGGAGCTTTTTCATTGAAAAACGCTCACAATAAACGCAGATTGCCCCCTCGAGGACCTTGCGTGCGTGCTCTTCGCCCAAACAAAAAACGCAGCGATTGTGTGTCATCAGGTGTCAAAAAACGACGACACGGATGCACACATCCTCTAAACGCTTTGCTAGTGCTCGCCATAATGATAGGAATAGAGATCGCTCTTACCATGGAAATGCACGCTTCAAACAAAACAGTCAGTGAAGATGAAGAAGAGGATGACGTATTCTCCCGGCGCCTATTTATACTATAGTCGCACCTGTATTGACGTCATGGGCTGTCACCGGCCAACGTGTTGTTGGTGTTTTTTGAATGTATGCTTCAGACACGGGTCACGACGAGGCATTCCCCATAGCGACCCCTAGAGGACGTAGTTCGAAGTTCCCTTGAAAGGGAACCATAACCACTGTACCAGGCTGCCAGCCACTTAAGCTGTTAAAATTTAGGATATTCACAGTATATAAAAATATACTTTCTAATAAAAATATAGGACTAAATGCATCCTTTAAAGTCATTAAAATAAAGGTTCTTTATTGGCATCTTTGGAACCCTAGGGGTCTGTCCATTGCACAAAAGGTTCTTTATAGTGGAAAAACGTTCTTTAGATTATTAAAATGTTCTTCACAGTAAGAAAAAAATAGGTTCTTTTAAGAACTGTTCACTGAAAGGTTCTTTGGGGAACCCATAATTATTCTTCTGTGGCATTGTTGTGAACACCCCCTTTTGGAACCTTTATTTTAGAGTGTAGGTGACATTTTCAGTACCTTCACATGCAGGTAATTGATAATTAAGTAATTGAATATCCCATCCACCATCTTGACATGTTCTAGTGTCATTCATCATCTGGTAGCTTGAAAAATATATCTTTACTTTTTCAAACAACTCTGTCTAAATATGAACTTATATACTAACCTATCACTGCAGATATGATCATTCCAAAAACAAAGTTTCTTCCACTTTCAATAGTGTAATGACCATTTAGAATATCTTCAGGCAACTTACAGCGTTTGACTGATGATAAATCAGAAGCAAAAGATACAATTCAAAGTTTTGAGAATTCAGCCTTTCAAGGTCAAGGAAATTATTACATGATAAGTTACTCAGTTTATTTAAAATGCATACAATTAGGTTTAAAATTTTTTTTTTTTACCGAAGCACACTGACTATAATTTGTGTGTCTTGTATACCCACATGAACATTTTTCACCACGCCATTTAATCCATTTATTATCACTACACTTGTAGATTATTTTTCTCGGAGAGACATAGCCATGTACGCAGTTGTATTCAAGTTTATCACTATCAGAATAATTGTTTTTCTTGGAATTTTCAGCAACTTCTGCATGTTCTATACCACAGGGATCTCAGAGCAACCTGTTAGACTATTAAAAAATGACGTTGTTGCTGTCATTTTTGTTTGTAATTCATTTAGTTATTCATTTAATCACATTTACTATTAGAAAGATAAGGTCTGTGCACATGCACTATGTACCTTTCATCAGTCAGCATTTGTAGAAAGAGCGAGAGTGAATGAGAATTAACCTGTAAAGCCCATGTTGTGTAGATCCAGGGGCCAGTTGCATAAACAATCACGATGTTAAGACTGTGTCTTAAGAACTAGTTTGACCAAATATCAGTTAGCCAAGGGGTAATCAGTCTTACTTTTCAATTCAAATTAGACCAGTCTACCTTTTTACAACTGCTATTTCATATAAATTGAGGATATAGTGTAAAAAGAAACCAAACTCATTGTAAGTTTGAATGTCAAGCTTTATTCTGAATCAGTGATGACTTTGTAACATAAGCAAGTAGATTGATGTATCAAGCGTGTTTGTATGTGTGTGTGTGTTAGTGTCTGAGTTGCTCCTGCATCAGCGTGTTTCTCCATCTTCCTTCACATCTGAGGGATCATCAGATCTTAATACAGAAAATTATGATAAACGAAGAGTTGCATGCTGGTGGACGTTAATGTTGTTTTTAATATCAGTTTACATGCTAAAAGACGCTTATCTATTAAAAATTACAAGACATTTATTCCATTCAAATTTTGCACTGCAACATAAACTCTGCGAACAGAAAATATATTATTGTAAATCAAATGTGGCTAGTAATGTCATCAAAACGTTTCATAGTTTCATACCTCTGTGTTTCATTCAACGACAGAACGTCTTGTCTATGTCTGCTTTTGAACTGAAAAAAAGCAAAACAACAACAACAAAAACAATTAATTTTCAATCAATCAATCAACGAAGAGTTACATTTCAAGCAGATATAGCTATTAACTAAACTAAATCTTTCAGGACACAAAATGCTGAAGTTTAACCTGGAGTTGAAACTGTTGCCTAGTTTATTTCAAACTAGCTTGAGAACAAATGGCACTTTTATTAACCTAAGAGCTTCTTTTACACATGAATAATTCAACAGAAATATACACTACTTTTAAAATCCAGCAGGATGCAACAAACTGATCAGAAGTCAGAGTAAAGACATTTTTAATGTTACAAGTGATTTTCAAATAACCCTCAGGTTGTGTTAGGGTCATTTTGACCCGGAGAGGATTTTTTTTCTCCCGAAAATGTGAATGTTATCCCATTGGACTAAGATCAGGGCCGCTGCTGGCCAAATGGGTGCCCTAAGCAAAATTGTATTGTTTTAATTTTTTGTAAGGGTTGTGATGTCCACATGTTTTTGTTGAAGAAATTATTGAGGCTGTCGCATTTCTTTTGCAAAAAGGTGGCCAAAAATTGAAGATTAAGTGGATATTTGAATTAAATGTTTGGTCAATATTAAAGGGGTCATATGATGCGATTTCAATTTTTCCTTTCTCTCTGGAGTGTTACAAGCTCTTGGTGCATAAAGAAGATCTGTAAAGTTTACATAAATCCCACGGCTACGTCATGATGTGGGAAGATTTGCATAACGCCGCCCAAATGTTCACGCAAAGAAA